CCCCAAAACCCCAAAACCCCAAAACCCCATGATAGCAAAATAAATGTTGTTGAGATGAAAGTATTATTTAAATTTAAAAATCAAAATGCAAAAAACTAATTATATGATGAGAGATATTAGCCGCTAAAATCCTTTGAGAACTCCAAATACCACTAACTTCAAATCAGATAATTCTAAAACTTCAAAAATCAAAAAGGTACAATCCATTTTTGAGTTTAATGATGTTTAAAGAGCATAGCCACTATCGATTTAATGGGAGCCAATTCATTTAAAGGCTCAGCTATAATGAGTGGAGCCACAACAAAAGCAAGTTATTTGATTTAGAATTCAGCCAAGGTAATTAAGAGAATTCATTTGATAGATATTATTAGGGAACTATTATCAGTAACAGTGAGTCCTAATTTTCAGGTGTTTCAAATTAACAGAAAATAATACAGCAGAGGAATCATCGTCATTTCCTTAGTAATGAGAAGCCCTAATTTGATATCACAAATCGCGACAGATTTCAGAAGAGCATATTTAAAACAGTTTGCGAATAAAAAAAAGAATTTGAGTTTACAGATGGCCCTTAATTTGAGTCAAGTTTTGAGGACAGCTTGAATCAGTCTTTAAATAAAAGTTCAGATCGGGATGTTTAGACAACTATAAAGAAGGAATTTGTGTCAAGTAAGTCTTTAAATTAGTCATAAATATCAATCATCAATATTTCAATAGACATGAATCCGCATTATCTAAAGCGTAGAGATTAAATGCTAAATGATTATGTCTGGTATGCAGCATATGATGATGATTTGCTGAATGATAATATGCTCAGAAACATTAAAAAATGCGGAGATAAGACCTTTCCCTTAGAATTTCAATCACTAAGAATAGAATCTTTCGAGATAGTGTTCCAAGAGCCAAACTTTATTTATCTCTAAAAAAAACATGTAAAATACAGCTGTTTAATTAATTATTAGAATGCTTAAGTCTTGATAAAAGCATTCTTGATTTCATTTCAGCAACTAGTAGATTTATGCGTGATAAAAAACAGAAATTTCTTGAGTTTACGAGAACCTGATGAATTCGACGACAATGTTGTCATAACTTAGGCATCTGATTAAGAGTTATACGAAATCTAATTTCCTGAATCAGGAGAACCAATAAATTATGATATGATTTTTTCACTTGGGAAATATGATGGACTACCTATTTTTGCGTTCTCTAACAAGGATAAATCTTATATAAATGGAAGACCATCTATGTAGCCTTCGTTTTTGAAGCACATTGGCAACTGTCAAGTTAATATAGAATTTATCAGTTCAATATTTAGAGGATTATCTGAAAGTTTCCCATAATTTACAGTTGATTATCTACTGTTTTATTTGTATTCAAAACCAGGAATCAATTAAAAACTCACAATAGAAGAGCTAACCACAGTGAGATTATAGGGGCTTTAGGATTCGTTTAGATAACTAGAGGAGACTAAAAGATAAACTTTGAATAAAATCATTGAGCAGTCAAGTATAGATTAAAATTATTTTGACATGGAGCACAGCCTTATGAAAAATAAGCAAAGATCTGATATGAAATTTAACACCAATAATAAATAAAATAATCAAGGCAAAGTATAAAATCTGCTAAATTCCTTAACAAAATAGGAGATTGTAGATCCTTTTTAATCTAATAAATTTCAAAGCTCAGCCACTGGTGGAGGTAGACGCTTTAACCAAAGCATTAGTAATGGCTTGAAACTCTTTAGATCATATTAAAGATCACCTATGACTATTAGTAGCTAGGATTAAGGTGTTTTTGTGATTCATAGGTAGGAAGAAGACTTGATAAAAAGAATCGACTTTTAAGAAGAGTACTTAGATTCCTTAGAGAATGATTTAAGTCCTTAGAAGAATAACTTCAATTATGATATTAATAATAATAATGGAGTTCAAGTCAATATATCAAACCTACTTGATGAAAATTCTGTTCAAAGCAGCTCCGCATCTAAATTTCCTGTATTTATTGAAGATTTGAGATTTGAGTATTAAGATTTTTCGCCCTAACAATAGCATTAGAATCAATTTCAGAGATATCGTAGAAAGTTTAATGTCAGTTCAAGTCAGTAAAATATCAATTTATCTAATTAGCTGTCATAATAGAATCTGGGGGTTAGGAAAGTTAAAAGGGTTCCCTTAAAGGATATTAAGAACACAGTAATGAGTAGTTTGATGAAGAAAAATTAAGCGATAGAAAACTAGACAAGAAAATACAACTTTCATCCTCTAAAAAGGATATAATCTGGTGAAAGTTCAAATAATGTCTCACCAATTGGAAAAAGAAGATCTTTTGGTGATTGTAGTTTGAGTAATCTGTAGATAGAAGAATGTTCAAACATATCTGATGTCTCTTATGGCAAGAATTATCTGATTAGTAGCAATAAAGATCAAAATTATTAGATAAATCAGTAGCTTTTTAACAACAATTTTGGTGTAAAAGGACCAGCGTTTAGATTGCAAACTCAACCGTCCAATACAGCAAGTTATGTGTGTCATACCAATAGCAAAAACAGTCTACTATAGTACAAGGGTGACATTAACAAAGAAAACAATATCAAAATTGTATCAGATAGGTCTAAAAACTTTCATAATAGTAGAGGGATCTCCTCATATCATAGAGCAAAGACTAACCTGACAGCTACTAAAAATCAACTTTCAGCAACCTCTGGGATCAAAGCATCAACCTAGACTCAGAAGACAGAAACCTTTATTAATGAGATAAAGTCTATTCTTGATAACATGACTACTCAAAAGAACCTAAGATACTGATTTTCTGCTCTTTGCCCTTTTTAACTAGGGTATAAATTGTATTGTTTACTAAGATTATGTTTTAATTATAAGTTACTTTACTTGAAACAATTAATAATTAATTATCTTTATATTTACTGCAACTTATAATGATTGCTACAAGTCCTATTAAATTTGCTGCTGCCCTTCACTAAGTTTTTGAGAGCACAGTAAATAATGTCAAATATTACTTTGGAGGCTAATGTACGCTTTCTATTTTTGATTTTGTGTTAATAACTATGAGTAGAGTAAATTGAAAAGTAGGAATAATAAGTTACCACCCTCTTAGATGTGAGAGCAGAAGATGGATATACATTGCAAACTGATCAATAAAATCAAGAGCAAAAGACTGAGATATTTGCAGGAGTTTTTGAAAGAAAAAGAAACAAGCTAGATGATATCTCAGACTCAGTTAATGAGACTCTTGACTACTACTTAGTTTCATCAACAAAAGCAATCGTGGGAGGTGTATATAATGGAATATCTTGGGGTGTATCAAAGATATTTGGTGGCAGACAAACTGATTCTCATAGAGTCTCTCTTAGTGATGGGTACTTTCTTTTGATTTTTAAAGATTTTAGATGGGAGGATGAGAGATATCAAACAGTATGATCGTATTTTAACAGTATTACTTTATAAAAGAGTATCCTTCTTAACATATTTCAAGGTTTTCATTCAATTTAATAACTATTGAATGATCACATTATCTACAAATTTTTATTATCACGGGGTTTTGGGGTTTTGGGGTTTTGGGGTTTTGGGG